TTTGACTGCCAAACAACTTTTCACCTATGTTCAGTACGGAGGCATTGGGAATCCCATGGTTTCCCCCATTGGTGGAAACACAATCTGTTCTACTTAAGAGCACCTCTAGCTTTTGAACAGCAGAAACAAACAAAACAAAACAAAACAAAACAAAACACAAACAAAAAAAATCAGAGTGCCTCACTGATGTCAGATGATGGTAAGTCATACTCACCTACTGGCCAATCAGACCGAACGAAACCTGCCAACGGCACACCAAGTGTCCTGTGGGAAAACACAGGGCTCTCCATTCTTTTCCTCCCTGCCCTTCTTCGGGTCCCTCACCCACCCCCTTACCGCTAACTCCCCGTCTTTCTGATCACTTCCCCATTGTCACCAAAAACATTAGCCCATCCTCGATTTACTGAAACTTCCTGCTTTCAACTTGCGTATCTATGGCATATAGTTGGACAAAGAATTCAGAATAGTTTATAACTAGGAGACAATTTTATAAAAGCTGTAAATAATTAAAATAGATATATTTTCATAAATTATGAATCTGTGTGTCTTCACTCAACCATAGCAATTATTACTTATTTATTTTTATGTTATTAACATGTCTAGATATTTTAAATATTCATTTTAGGTTATTTTATTGAAAGATTGGTATTTGTGGTCTTGAGCTTACATCTACTGCGTTGCTTGTCTCTTCCTGGGAAGAGCATCCACCTCTTGGCAAACTTATCCCCAGCTCCACATGGTTCTATTGGAGATCATCAAAGTGAAGCAGAACACAGCACAATGGTTAGAGGGTGAGCTCTGAGGCAGACCTTACAAGGTTAGTACTATTATTATTAGTTAGTTAGTACTATTATTCTTTCCGTTAAACAGAGGAAGAAATTGAGACGTTGAGAGGCTCTTTGTCCCCTAAGTTCGGACAAATCCTTCCTATATTCATGAGAAATTAATACAGACCCTGCTTCTCCCAGTTTTCAATTATCAAGGTCCATTCAAAACATACCTCTCCATGCTCAATCAGAAGAAAAAAAAAAAAAAAAGCCTTACTTTTCTGTAATGCTGAGTTATTTTCCAAGACTGCCTTAACAAATTACCACAAAACCAGTGGCTTGATAAAATAGGTACTTATTTTCTTATATTCAGTTCTTGTGGACAGAAGTCGGAATGTAGGCATCAGCAGGGATATGTTCTGTGCAAAAGCACGAGGGAAGAATCTTCCATGCCTCTTCCAGCTGCTGGTGGCGTCCAGGGATCTGTGGCCTCTCTGGTTCTTGCAGATGCATCACTCGAAGCTCGGTCCCCATCTACACATCACCTTCTCTGCCTCCTTATGTGGTCTTTCCTGTTATTATAAGGACACCAGTCATTGGATTTAGGGCCCACCCTCAATCCAAGATAAGCTTATCTCAAGATCCTTATGTTCACCTATAAACACCCTATTTCCAGTAAAGTCATATTCTGACGTTCCAGGAGGATGTGACTTCTAGGGGAACAGTATTCAACCCACTACAAATGCTTACAGCTAAAAGAGAGATTTCACATTCACTTATTTGCTACAGCTCACCAAACTCAGCTGCAGTGACATGCCACTTCCCTGAACTCAAGTCAACTTTTGGGGCCCTTCTATGACCCACATTGTTTCATGTGTACCCCAATATTTGTCTAATTTTGCCAATCTGACTGTGCCTGATGTCAGTCCCCCACAGGGAAGATGAGGCATTCTTAGCTGTGTAGACCTGTGTAACTTCTTCAATTGCATACTGAGTTGAATCATATATGTCTTTGTACATCTCAGTGTAATACACAGAATTCTCCCTTAGGTTAAGAATCAAACTACAGGTAATGAAAACAGTGGAGAGTGCACAGAATATATGGAGGCTGTCAGTCTGCCTGTCTGCCTGTCTCACCTACTTACCAATCTACATATTTATTTGTCCATCCAACCACCCATGTGCCCCTTTCTCCATCCATCTATTCATCCATTCACACACACACACACATTTATCTGTCTATGTGTCTAAGCTGTGTATCACTTACCTTTCTATGAAAGAAATGAATGAATTATTTTGTAGGAAAAAAACTATAAGCTCCACGCGAGCAGGGATTTCTGTTTATAACAGTGCCTGGATCACAGAAGTTGCTTAATAAATGTTGATTGCATGAGCATGATATTTCAGATTTGTACATTTTATAAACCTTTTTTTTTTAGCTACTCTATCTAACCCACACCCCCCAATATAAATATTAATGTCCATTAAAAGTTAAATGAAAAAAAGCCTTAGATAGGGATAAAAATCATAATTGTATATCAAAGTTAATGAGTTCATTATTTAAAAAAATTTAAAACACCTATAAATAAAACATAAAAGCTTGAAGTGGTTGTTTAAGAAATTATTTTATTTTATTATTTTTTTATTTTCAAATTTTTAATTTTTTATTTTTTTTAATTTTTTTATTGTTATGTTAATCACCATATATTACATCATTAGTTTTTGGTGCAGTGTTCCATGATTCATTGTTTGTTCATAACACCCAGTGCTCCATGCAGAACGTGCCCTCCTCAATACCCATCACCAGGCTAACCCATCCCCCTACCCCCCTCCCCTCTAGAACCCTCAGTTTGTTTTTCAGAGTCCATCATCTCTCATGGTTCGTCTCCCCCTCTGACATACTCCCCTTTTCTTCCTCTCCTGTTATCTTCTTCTTTT